TAACTTGTCAAAGCTAACTAACTTGTCAAAGCTAACTAACTTGTCAACAGCTTCAGTGTTGCCAGTGGATTTAGTATATTAATGTCACATACTCCAGAAAAGACTATAATTGTAACATGATGTCTACTGTGAAATACATATAATTCAAACCCAGGAAACTGCCTGTACCAATATCAGGCCATCAGCACCCCATCCTAGTTGCTCATGAACCTCAAAACGTCTTCACCAAATTTGACACCACAATATTTAAAGTTGTAAAATGACCTTTTTTTTCGCGGCATCTGGCCATCCGGCCATCCCATTTATGAATTTTTGTTCTGTCTGATATGCCTTATTTGACCATAGTAATGAAAGTAATTATGTACAGCAAACGTTTTGTTTTAACCGGCACCTTATGTACCAGCATGCTCGATAAATGGCAAAAATTATATACCTCAAAAATACCGCAAAGTTTACTGTATTATCGTTATCTCTGCAATGTCCAATTAGTCAGTTGAGGGTGCGAGTGAGAAGGCTTGCTGCCAGCAAGTTTTAAGGCCAAGTTGCATTATTATTTAGTGATTTACGCTGCAAACAAAAGTATTACATTTCTATTACTTAGTGTGTATTTTTACATTGATAATATGGACCTCTTGATTAACCAGCACACTCATGGTCCCACAGGGCTGGTTAATAAAAGATTGGCTATTATTAGTCAGGCTGGTGATCTATAGAAAAGCACACTTGCTTCCACAGCTGATCCTTGCATTATACCAGGAATATAATTCCAAAAGTATTATCAGCCTTCCTATATGACTGAAGTGACCAACCTCTGCAAGTTTGGAAAAAAATGTCTTCCTCCAAAAGGATCATATAACCCAGCCTCTTTATCCAGTTCTCACTGCACATTTAAAATGCTGTTTACTGAATAAATTATTTAAAGATACATAATTTTACAGTCATCACACTTCAAACAACAAGCATCTTCCACACATCACTAATACGGAAGCCAAAATAATTAATTCTAAAATAACTACTGTACGCACTGAGCGTTTCATGAAATGACATTGGACCAGGGACACTGGTTACAAACGGGCAACACTTTTAAATATTTTATTACATTATAAGACTGAAACTGCACTGTTCACTTTGATCCAAAGCTGAACTAAAAATGAACTAACCACTTAACATTAACGGACCAAAAATTAACCCCTATAGAATCAGTTACAAGGAAATACAAAATATTTCAGTATAAATCAGTGCAGACTCTGGAGAAGCACACCCCTACAGAAAAGTTGGAACACTAATCGTCGAGACCAAACTGTCAAGTATCACCCTGCGTTGTAATTACATCTAAGCAACAGTGTAAGTGAAGTTTGTTGTGTAAGACAGCAAATCTGCAAGTATCCAGTAAGTAGGCATTGAATTTGCAGCTTACCATTTCACTACTTTTCTGCAAGGTGGTAACCTTGTAAGGTACACACTCAACCATCCATTAAAGTACATGCAAGTAAGAATCTAAGATGGATCACAATTCCTAAGCAATTTAGATAAAATAGAACATAACAGAGCCATGAAAGACCAATAAACATATGAACACCCCACTAATTTCTAACCAATATTAGTGTGATTCTGGAAAGACTCAATTTAGCTGACATTACAATATGGACTTGCTCTAATTAAGGCAATTTTTTTTTAAATAACCAGGAATATTTTTTAGCCTAGATACATGGCCTCAAACTTTGACACAAAACTTCTGCATCTGCTTAAAAACACGTTTGAGAACTACATATTTCAAGACAAGAGATAACTAATATGGCTTTTGTTTCAGCTGCTTTATCTTGCAAATTGAGAGACAGGAGAAAATACATAGAAAAAACCTTGTGTTTGGGGAGACAACATTGCCTCTACACAGATAGCTTTTGTATTTTTGTTTGTGGCTAACAGCTATCCAGAGTGGAAAACATGTAAAGGATTAAATTATAATACCTCTACTTAGCAATTAACGATTCCTAATAAAGTTAATTGTTGACAATCCATGAGCAGGTAAGTAGTGTTCTTTCAGAGTTTGGAGATCGCAAACGAAAAGAGAGACCAGATGTCCGAAATTTAGCAATAAGGGTTAAGATGATATTAACATGTCTAGTGGAGTTACTTTTAGACAAAAATTAGAGAAAATAACATCATTTAAAAAGGGACTGAGCAGCTGAAGACAATGCTCAACATCAAAAGACTTTAATCTTTTCATTCAAATACATACAAGCTTTGTTGGTCCACTGCAATGTTCAGTTCTTTACCCAAATAAATCTTCCTAATCCTTTCAAATGTATCTCTTCAACCAAACTTTCAGTTACCCTGGTATTTCAGCTTTTGAATCAATTTTTGTCTGATTATCCTTCTCGGAGGAGTCTCGGGACACTACTTAAACGCAAACTGTTGTCATTTTCACAATATCTGCAATTAAGACTTTGCTCACTAAACCATTTTTTTTTTTTAAACATCTCCTATACTTTAAATGCTTGTGCACACAAGGACAGTAAAGTAAATACACCTCAACACAGGTCAATCCTCAGACTTTTTTCGGGAGGCAAGTCCAATTTTCTCCCCTCAGATGGCAAATTGCTGGAAAATTATTGCACTGAGCACCACCAGCAGTTTATTCAAGCAGCCATGTCACAAGTCAGTACACTCATTAATTAACTCCGATTAAAGGCAGTGACTGGCAAGCAAAACAAAACCAATGCCTATCCTCAGCTAGCGTTCATTCATGATCACTTTCTGATTGGATAGAAAACATAACAGGGACCCTGACTAAGTCACCTCCCCTTCTCAGTGGCAGCCTTAGATGAAGGGTAGTATTCCTTCCTTTCATTCTCAAAAATCATAGGTCAAGACCCACTCTGGAGGCTTAAACAAAATCCAGATTGACATCTCAGACATTACTGAGAGAGTAATGCACTGTAGGCTGACACTCAATTGAAATGTCACCCAAATCACCTGCAGCCTCAAAATGAGCTATTCAAAAAGGAAAAGATAACCCTTGCAGCCCTGACTTGCATTTATCTCTCAATCAACATCATTATAACATACTATTTCATTATTTACCTCATTGGTCTTTATGGGATGTTTGTGCATACATTAGGCACCATGTCTGTGACATATCATTGACTAATTTTATATATACATCACAGGGTGTGAAAGGCACCCTAACAATATAAAAGGTTTTACGTATTTCAAGTATTCTTTTTCCCCTTGTCCAATGCAGTTTTACTGCAGATGACGGCTTTACCCAGCAGAATATTAGAGGTGCACTTTGCAATGTCTCTCAACATTATGCAGTTGCAATTCCAAACTACAATTGTTTCTCGAAGCAGTACATAGCAATACAATTTCCTTCTAGTATCTTACCTTCCAGCCACTGCCAGCTTCTCTATAATATGGAAAGTTGTCACATATCCACTGATAGATCTCACTGAGAGTCATCTTCTTTTTTGGAGAGCTGTTGATAGCAAAAGTAATGAGGCTGGCATAACTGTATGGTGGCTTGCCATCTTTGTTTTGTGCATCCTGGTCCAGGGTAGTGTTTGGGTCCAGAAGTGGGGTTTTCTTTGCAATCCCACCACCAGCCACATTCTGGGCAGCATCTGCTTTCTGAATGGCTGCCCTCATCGTCAACTGTGGCAGCCAATCCATGGACGTCAGGCTGCTCTCCAGCTCTGACGTCATTGTGCTCAATCACTCCTCTACCAGGTACCAATAAAGTTTGTAATCCACACAATAGTTGTTTCACTCCCAAAAGAGAAGCCACACTGCAGGAAATTCCTAGTCACTTGGTTCACTTGATTGGAGGAAGTAGGTTTATTCTAAAAAGAAATAAAAAGGTTACAATTAACTTCAGAAAATGCATTAGAGAATAATTTACTCCAACAGATCAAACCAAATTTCGCTGTGTTAAACCTCTCCAAATGCCTAAAAAATACAAACAATATTGATCTCCTCCACCGTACAATAAAGGCTGACATGTTTCTCAACTCTTGTTTTCCTGCCTTCTCCTTGTAACCTGTTACCCCTAACTAAGAACCCATCGATGTCTCATATACACTCAATAACATGGCCTCCATGGCGTTCTGTGGCAATGGGCTCCACAGATTCACCATCCTCTGGCTGAAGAAGCTCCTTGTCATCTCAGTTCTAAAAGGGTAGCCTCTTCACTCTGACGTTAAGCCCTCAAGTCCTAATCTTTCCTACTAATGGAGAGATCTTCTCCACACCCACCCTATCCAGGCCTCTCAGCATTCTGCAAATTTCAATGGGATCCCTCCCATTCTTCTAAACTCCATTGAGTACAGACCCATTGTCCTCAACCGCTCCACATATGACAAGCCCTTCATTTCCAGGATCAATCCTGTGAACCTCCTCTGGATCCCCTCCAAGGCCAGCACATTCTTCCTTACAGTCCTTACTTGGTTTGGCCTACATGCGACTCCAGACTTATAGCAATGTGGTTGAGTCATAACTGGCCTCTGACTAATTAGGAATGGGCAATAAATGCTGGCCTAGCCAGTGACGCCCATCTCCCAAGAAAGGAAAGAAACAAAACCGGGCCAATAACTGATACATTTCATTGATCTTCCCCACTGTAAATATTGGTAATAAGCTTGTCAAATCTAACTAACTTGTCAACAGCTTCAGTGTTGCCAGTGGATTTAATATATTAATGTCACATACTCCAGAAAAAACTATAATTGTAACATGATGTCTACTGTGAAATACATATAACTCAAACCCAGGAAACTGCCTGTACCGATAACAGCCATCAACACCCCATTCTAGTTGCTCATGAACCTCAAAACGTCTTCAAATTTGACGCAATAATATTTAAAATTGTAAAATGACTTTTTCCGCAGCATCTGGCCATCCCATTTATGAATTTTTGTTCTGTCTGATGTGCCTATTTGACTGTAGCAATGAAAGTAATTAGCTACAGCAAACGTTTTGTTTTAACCGGCACCTTATGTACCAGCATGCTCGATAAATGGCAAAAATTATATACCTCAAAAATACCGCAAAGTTTACTGTATTATCGTGATCTCTGCAATATCCAATCAATCAGTTGAGGGTGCGAGTGAGAAGGCTTGCTGCCAGCAAGTTTTATTTAAGGCCAAGTTGCATTATTATTTAAGTGATTTATGCTGCAAACAAAAGTACTATATTTCTATTACTTAGTGTGTGTGCGTTTTTTATTAACCAGAATTTTTGATCTACCAGCACTCTCCTGGTCCCTTGGGCTGGTTAATTAACAGTTTGCTATCATTACTCTGGCTGGTGATCTTTAGAACAATACGCTTGCTTCCACAGCTGATCCTTGCATTTTACCTTCTGCAACAAACCCCTCAATTTCTTGGTTTTGTCACGTCCACTCTGGCCAACTTCAGGCTAGATCTCGCCTTTTAATTTGAGCCCTCACTGTATTTAAAATTAGCTGTGGGGATGCCCTAGCAGGCCAACTGACGTGAAAAATCATGGAAACACCAGCTCCCAGGCAAAATGAAAGAGATTTACACCAAAGCAGCTGTTCTGCAAAAAGTGCACAGTATTTTGTTTCCAACATTCACCAGTTAAGGATTTTGCACTGTTCAAATTTTTTTTAAAAGTGAAGTTTCCTTCTACAGGATCTTATCAGTTCCTAATCAAATTGATTTTTAAAGAGTGTGATTTATTTAATATTTACACTATTTCATTGTTAAATGAATGGATTTAATTTATGAAAGAACTTGTTATCTGTCATAACATGCAGAGATAAAAAGGGGAGTTATTACACCAAGCAGAAACAGTCAAGGAAATATCAAAAAAAAGCATGAGGAAATCCAAAAAATAACAAAAGCATATGAAAAAAGGAGGAAGAGCAGAAGAGAAATATCAAGATATTAAAAGTTGCAGACAAGTAATAATGTCAGTTTGCATTGCCAATGTCCCACAAGGTTGCTAGCAGTTGTCTTGTAACATTAGGAGAAGTGCTTCAAGAGGTGACAGTAGCTAATGTTTAAGAGGAGATTTTTTTTAAAGAGGTACTTAAGCAAATGGGTTTAAGAAGCGTGTTCAAAACTGTGGGACAGAGATAGATGAAGTCCATGCCACCGACGAGTGCAGGGGAGGTAGTACATGATAGAATCTCAAACCAAAATTCACTAAGAGTTAAAGGCAGCCGAACCTCAGAATTGCAAATTGGAATGGTAATTTTGAATTCCTTTCTGTGCAAGATAGGAAATCATCAAATTTGATGAGGACAGGAAAACAGGATTTAGAGTGAATAAGACAGAGTGGTAAAGTTTCAGACAAGCCACAGCTTATGCAGGATATAACTTTAGAGGTCAGTAAAGAATTACAGAATTCAAACCTCAAGGTGATAAAGGCTTATACATAGAACTTAAGTGAAGTAATATTTTACTTTGTCCATATAAACTTTATATATGTTTTATAATACACTAAGTCTCCACTGAGAGCACTGATATTATGAAATATTATATTTAGATTAAAGAAAGCTTTCCCCCGCCCCCCCCAAAATGATAAAGCAGCAGAGTGAGGTTTGGCCACAACTGCTGTAATTTATTTCAAGAGCACTCTGTTGCACAACTAATGAGGGTTAAGTTCAGAGGAGGGAATGCCCATTTCAACCAGACAACACATGTTACATACTTAAGAGCTTGGTCATATTCTGATTGATTCCTGTTATTTCTGAAGTCATATCAAAACAGAACAAGTCACAACAAGCTGTACATTTGACGTTGTGCTGCACCACATACACACACACTTGTAAATCCAGGGTGAATCCTTCCTCTTAATAATAACAGATGGCTTGAAAATGTTTCCCTACAGTACAAAGTGCTCTTGAAAACAGGAATCTAGCTCCTGGAAATTAACAAGGGGCCACAAACAAGTAGGAACAAAATATATTCTGGGTGGAGATTTCCATGCCCATCACCAGAGTGGCTCGGTAACACCACTTCTGGCCCAGCTTTGAAGGGCTTATCTGTCACACTGGGCCTGAACTAGGTGGTGAAGGAACCAGTAAAATGGAAAAAAAACCAAAAAAAACTTACTAGACCTTGTCCTTACCAATCTACCCATCACAGATGTATCTGCCCATGACAGTATTGGTAAGAAAGATCACTGTACAGTTCTTTTGCAGATCAAGTCCCATCTTCACACACAACATACTCAATAGCACAGCCTAGCACTATGGCCATGCTAAAAGGGACAGGCTGAACAATCTACCAACTCAAAACTGGGCAACGATGAGGCACTGTGGGCCATCAGTAAAATTGTATTTGACTACAATCTGTAACCTCATTGCTTGGCATATGCCTCACTCTACCAGAACCCCAAACTGGGAGATCAGCCTTGGCTCAGCGACAAGTACATGAGAGCAGGCCAGGTGCAGCACCAGGTATACTTAAAAATTAGGCATCAACCTGGTGAAGTTACAATACAGGACTACTTGCATGCCAGATAGTGCATGTAACAAGCAAAAGAGCTAAGCAATCACACCGGAAGTGGATCAGATTAAACGTTTGCAACGCTGCTACACCTAGTTGCAAATGGTGATATGTAATTAGGCAACTTAGCAGGGAAGGCTGCTCCACAAGTATCCCCATCCTCTATGATGGAGGAGCCAAGCACATTAGTAAAAGTAAGGCTGAAGAATTTGCAAACATTATCAGTCAGAACTGCCAGTAGGTGAATCCATCTAAGCTTCCTTCCAAAGTTCTCAAAAATCGTAGATGCCAATTTTCAATCAACTTAATTCACTTCACGTAAAAAAGTTTAGACCCTGAAACATTACAGTAACAGCAGTGAAGGTCTGTGTTGCAGACACAGCCATGCCCCTAACCAAGCTGTTTCATTACAGCTACAACACTGGCATCTAGCCAACAATATGAAAAATTGCACAGGTATATCCTGCCCACAGAAATCAGGAAAATTCCATCCTGGCCAATTACTACCCTACCAATCTATTCTTAATCAAAGTGATGGAAAGTCTTGTGTACAGGATTATCAAATGGTATTGATGCATCAGTAACCTGCTCAGCTCTTGACCTCGTTACAACCTTGGTTGGGGAATGCACGAGTGACCATCCATGAGAAGACAGCATTTGCAAAAGTGTGGCACCAAGGAGTCCTGGCAAAACTGGAACCAAGAACATTCAAGTGGCAACATTCAAATGACAAAAAAGTGTTGGGCAAATAACAACTGATTGACATTCAATGGTACGATCCCCTAATAACACCATTCTGGGACCAGAAATTGAATTAGACCAGCCACTTAAATACTAAGATTACAAGGGGAGGTCAGAGGCTGAAAGTTTTGAGGCAAATAACATCGACCAACTCCCCACAGTCTTCCAATGTCCACAAGGCACAAGTGAGGAATATAATGGAACACTGTTCACCGCCTGGATGAATGCAATTCCAGCAACACTTAAAGTTCGACAGCATCCAGGACAATGCAACCCACCTATCAGTGCACAATGGTAACGCACCTTCTAAACATACAATTAATATCACCTAGAAGATCAAGGGCAGCAGATGCATGGAAACACAACCACTTGCAAGTTCCTCCACAAGCAATTTTTGATTTGAAGCATATCACTATTTCTTTATAGTTGTAGAATCAATATCCCACATCACTGTCCAGAAGCACTGTGGGTATACCTGAAGATGGAATGCAGCATTTCAAGGTAGCAAGTCAGCAGCACCGTCTCAAATGCAAAGTTAAGCTGGTCAACAAAGCCAGCCTCGTCAACATTGGCCACATCTCACAAAAGAACAAAATAAAGCTCCTAATTCTCCTGCCTCAAGAAAC